CCGCCTTGGTGCCGGCGGGCGTTTTAACGGCCGAGCGGTTGGCGTCCGGCAGCTAGCAGGGCTGTAGGGACACCCAGCTCCCGGTTTCCCGGCTGGAAACGCCGTTAGAGAGTGGGAGCTGTTCCCTGTGAGGGGCCCGTCAGGGTGCAGCAGGTACTCCGGTGAGGCCAGGCGCCGGCTAACCGTGTGCGCGCTTACCGCTCAGGTTGTTCGAGGAGGGCAGCGCTCCTAGTAACGGGGAGCGAGCACAAGCTCCCGTAACGTCCTCCCGTTTGAACGTTAACGGGTTTACGAGCGTGAACATTTTGTGCCGGATCTGTAACGGGTGCAGGCTCAAATAACTTGCGTAGATTCAGCGGAAGATGCTGGTTTATATCAGGTGCGAACCTGCCCTTGTTAGTTAAACGTGTGATAGGTGCCCTGCTTGAGCATGCTTTATTTCTGTTGGTGACATTGAACTAAATGGGACAAATTTGATTTACTGCCTATATTTGAGTTACTTCTCTTCACTGAGCTCTCTTGCATTCATGCGTACGCTCCAGATAATTCATCATCATTAGGGAAGTTCATCTGCTAATCATTATTTAATCGTGAAGCGTGCTAACCAGTACGGCTGATAAGATTTGAATTCTTGCGATGTCGCAGCCTCTCCTGCTGGGCTCGTAACAATTAGCTAATCCAGTTTTCGTATGCCTGCGAGTGCCTTTCGGTCCTCGCTCCAGGTATTGCTGGAGGGATGAAATCAGGGAAGCCGCAAGGGGCCAAGCGCTCTCGCTTCCCCCAGGAGTCGGTGACTATTGAGATTCCCGGACACTCAGTTAACTACCCGCTTCTTTGTCTGCAGCTTCCAGAAAGCAGCCACGCAGTGAGAAAACACAGATATCACAGATGCTGTAAGAACTCACTTCACGTGGAGGTTGCGTCCGTGATATGAGTGCAAACTTACTCAGCTAAATCCCAAACGTTATTGAAGTTAAAGCTAACAAAAACAACTGTCCCCAAACCCATCCCTAAGCACACCTCCTCCCAAGCAGAATCATATAAGCCCAGTTACTAAAAGGTAAAGGTGTTTGAAGCCCTTCATATAGCCATCCACAGACATAATCATTTGTCCAAATTGTTTCTGTGTAGTCTAAGAAGAGACCACAGACTTTTTAGCATGCTAAGTGACTAGTTTAAGCATGGCTAGCTTTATCTACAGGGCAGCTTTTGATAAGCTGACACATTTCAGCTGGTCCTCTTTTTAATTCGCTGTATTCTGTGCCTTAAAAAAAATCTCTCACAGCGTCCTGTTGGAGCTGACTTGAGAACTGTGGGCTCTTCCTTCAGAGGAGAGAGATATTTCAGGGTGGACTAAGACAGAATAAAAATGTAAGCCAGTTTGGATGCACTGGGGTGGGGGGGGTGGTTCCTAAATACTTCGTTAACTGACTGTTAGGGATGTTTGTTTAAAAAAAAATCTGTTTCAGATGATCCAATTTGAAAAGGAATCAGGCTAAAGACTTACCAGTTTTTTGCTGGGTGATGGAATACTTTATGAAATTTCTTAAAATCTGTTTTAGATTTCACTGAAGTGAATTGTCACAGGTCCACAGACATTATGCAGGTGGGATAACCTGCCTTGGCACTCCTATCTGTAATGAAAGCATGAGACTAGAGATTGAACTTGGCTTTCATCAGGTGTTGTGAGACCTGTTTAAAAACTCAGACCATTCTTGGTGTTTGTTTTATTTCCCCCCTTTCGTTGCTCCTTTACAATTTGCCAAAGAACAGTTTAATCCAAGTGAAATAGGTGTATGTGAGTCTTAATTTCTATTTTTGTATATTTTTTTAGTGCCTTATCATGGTGATACTTTTTTTCAAAAAAACAGTTAGCACCTTACTGGAGATTTTAGTCCTCCAGGAGTCTCAACCTGGATATTGGAAAATGCCAGCTTTTTTTTTGAAAATCTTGGTCAGTGATACCAAAACTGTCTGTAAAGGCTGACTCGCTGTACTGTTGGCATCTCGACAAGACTTAAGCTGATAAAATTCCATTTTTTTTTTTTTTTTGGAAAATGCTGCCTGAAATTTGGAATAAAACAAAGTCTTCATGCTCCAAATTGAGAGATCATTGTAGGATTCACCAGGGATCTTTTTTTTTTTTCTTTTGAGTTCATCAGGCAGCTCATTTCCTAAGGGAGATGAAGTCTAAGCTTTTATTTCTGTCCTAATTTGTATAAGCAACAGAGGTTTTATTTCCTCAGGAAAAATGACATTGCGTGGCAACATTAACAGCAAGAGAACATAAAGTTCATGTCTTAAATTTAATAGATAATACAAAAATACAGACCAGTATAAATCATTGTAAATTGGCTGGTACAAATGAGAATAGCACCACTTCAATTAGTGGTTTTGCAGTGATTCAGACCATATCCATTCAGTCTACGTTTATTACTAATAATAGCATAACCTTAATAATGTCGTTAATGTCAATATTTGTATCTCATACATTCATACTGTATTTTCTTGTGCTTTTTTAGTAGATGGATCTCTTAACGCAACCATTTTTAACAGCTGTCTTTGACTTATGATACTGGTTTGAAGTAAATGAACTACCTTTTAAAGTCTGAATGAGTTCTGTTCACCTATTTTCTGACAAAAATCTCTGTGTAAAGCGACTTAATTTTGAGAAATGCCCGTTCTCATCTGAAATAATGCTATTCTTTATCTATTTGTAGCTAAACAGGTCAAGTTCTGGGAAGAACGAGGAAAAGAAAGGGAATAAGGAAAATGGTAAAAGTGAATCCGTTTCTGAAGGTGGAAAGACAGCTGTGGTGTTTTCCTTGAAGAATGAAGTTGGTGGATTGGTGAAAGCTCTCCGGCTCTTCCAGGTAAAGCCTACAAATCATTACGCTGACTGGACTAAGGGAGGATATTGAGGTCAGATTGTTTGCTGGTCTAAATTAATGGGCCTTGACTGAAGGAATGGAGTGCAGTTATTTTTATTCATTTCTGTATAGAGGGTAACTTCAAATTTTATGGACCGTTCAACAAAGCTTTTTGGGCTCAGGAGCAGTTTTCTGCAATCAAGTTTAACAATGATGTTGATGTTCATACCATTCGTTTTAGATTTCCAAAGTGCGATTCTCAATGCCTTAAATTAGAGCTGAAGTTCTCTGTACGACCATCGTGGGAGGAGGCATTTTCAGAGAGCAATTCAGAATATCACAGTTAGATGCTCAAAATCAGATCGTGACGGCAGCCTTGCCCAAAGATAGTGTTTGGTCATAAAGTTAAATACACCTATAAGTGCTTTGCTGGGTCAGGGTTTTGTATGTGTAATTAGAATGTAAATTGTAAAGTGTTAATTCACATATTGCCCCATGCAATTGGTAATTTTCAGTCAGGCTGCTAATGCTATAGGCTGCTTATCTGCTATTAGTTGCAGGGCAGGGGACTTTGTGTGCCATTGGATATACTGTTTGGGTGCAAGCTGGTAATTCCTGTAAATGCAGTCAGGTATGCACTCAACAATCATTGCATGTGAACTGGAGGACCTTATTAATAAATTGGAGCGGGCTTAGAAGCATGTCAAGGGTAATTAAAGCATTCTGGTATGATGAAAGTCTTAGGCTTTTCAATCTGTGCAATATAGCAAGGAGAAAGTTAGGAAGTGGTTTGGGTTCCACCTGTCAGGCCGAACCTTGTGGAGGCACTGGCCGTTACTATTCCTACTTCCAGGAGCTGGCACTGTGACCAGATTCCTAAGGCTGATGTAGGTACCTGGGTTCCCTAGCCATGCGAAAGGAGCGAGTCAGGCCTTTAGGAGGAAGACTGCCAAGAACCAGCATGTTTGCTGGAAATGGGGGGAAGCTTAAATATGCTGATAGGAATTGCGGGAGGAGGTGTGTTTGCAGTGCTGCTTCTCTTCAAGGGTTAAGTGTCTAACTGGAGCTCTGGGTTAAACGCCCACGTGGGTTCATCCTTGAAATCCTGGCCTTACACATAAACCCTCCCTCTTGGGGAGCAAGTACATAATCTACTCTGATCTTTTAAAACATGGCTGGAGGGTGTTGCAGAGCTATCACCCCGATTCATATATTGACTCAGCAATTCAAGCACTGTACGGGTAGAGTAGGTTTTTGTGCTCTCTTCAACCTCGGGGAGATCAAACCCACTTTTCCTGCTTTCCAAGAGAATGTAAAAATTGTTAGCTCTTTGCCAGCTGAGAACGTGTAGGGGCATCCTGCGTTATTCGCAGGATAGGTCATCAAAATGATTCTGCTTGTTTTTCAGTCTTTTAATCTACAAATAGCATGTACAAAGTGGAAAGCTTTTCTTCTGTGAATTTGTTATGTGAATGGGTTAGCTAAGGATATTTACCTTATACATACGTTATGGAGGCAGCCAGTGGAAGAATTATGTATTACATAGATCCAGAGGTGTAAAAGAGTGCTGGTTGGCTATACCAGAGGGGACTTTCGTCTGGAACAGATGTTTATACAAAATATGGCAGGCAAGTGGAAATAAAAGCACAGACTTCTCCTCCTATGGGGAGTCAAAAATATTCTACTGGCATTGCTGAGTAGGTGAAGAGATAAGTTGTCAAAAGTAACAGCGGGTTTGTGTCTGGAGGAAAAAAGGTAATACCGAAGAATCAATAGAAGCGTTAGTTGAAAGCAAGCATCTAGTGCAACTTCCTGTTTAAAGCAAGACTTACAGCACTAAATCAGGTTACCTTTAATGCATCGTGGCTGTCTCTTGTATGACACTCTTAAGAGACCAGTAGTTGTGGTGGGGGAGATACCCCATAGGAAAGTTTTCATGATAAAACTATTGTTACATCCATGCTTGTTCTGTAACTTAGTTCTGGTGGGGTCATTATAATAAATTGAACTAGATATTCATTTTATTACTATTATCACTTCTGGTTATTCAGAATAAGTGAAAGGAAGGTAGATGAGGACTGAAATATAATTATCCTCGCAGAAATATTTTCTCCCTCAAGTGTTTGTAAAAGATAGTAAAGTAATACATTTTTAATAGTGTCTGTTTACTTAAATACATTAAAATTCAGTTAAATTAACATTATGATCTTCCACATTGCCTAATAAAGTTGCATTTCACATTTATAGCAGAGTAATTTTTTTCTTTTTAACGATTATAATGTAATATTGTCCTTCGCTCTGGTAAATACAATTAAATTATCAGGTAATACTATTATATTTACTTAGTGAAGAAAGTTATTTTTGCACTCAATGTACAGAATTTTTTTGTCTTTATTAAGCATCGCTAATTAACTGAGTAGGTATATACGAGTAATTTTAGTGAAAACATCTTTTAATAACTGAGGAAAACTTTTCTGAGGAACATACCGTCAATATTACTGCTCTGGATGAAATGTCTGTTGTTCATCCGTTGTTTCATCTTTCCACAGGAGAAACATGTGAGTATGGTTCATATTGAATCAAGAAAATCCAAGCGAAGGAACTCGGAAGTAGAAATTTTTGTGGACTGTGACTGTAGTAAGAAAGAATTTAATGAACTAATCCAGCTGCTCAAGTTTCAAACTAACATCGTATCTCTTAATCCACCAGAAAACATCTGGACTGATGAGGAAGGCAAGGCTGCTTTTGCATCACTCACTTTAGACACTTGACAAACGTTTTGCATGCGTGTCTCACTAATATCCTTCAGTACATTCAGCTCACATTCTGTCTTCTACAGATCTCGACTGTGTCCCTTGGTTTCCCAGGAAGATATCTGAATTAGACAAATGCTCACAGAGAGTTTTGATGTATGGATCTGAGCTGGATGCAGATCACCCTGTAAGCGTAACCTAAAATTGCATTGTAGATAACTTGTTTAGATTATTTAGCCAGTCAAATAATAAGTTTGTTGATACTGATTTTGAGTATTTTTTGAGTACAAGGTTTTCCGAAGGTGCAAACTTTCATAAGTTCTCTTGAACGTTTTCAGTGAATTATTTTTTTTTCTGTAATGGGACACACAAAAAAGGAGGTGCTCTGCAAAACTTACTCACCCTTGAGCAACTTTGTCCCCTTTTGTACTGCTTTTATGTATTTATTTTTAATTAGCTGGCTGATAGAAGCTTTCAGATTCTGAAGAATTTGGATCCATGTGACCTTAGGTTCTGTCACAAGTAGAGATAAAAATTGCTATCAATATAGGTATCAGAGAAGAAAGAATGAGGGAAGACTTCCTGGGCTCTCAAGAGATAATTACAAAATAAAGCAGTATAACATGTTCCCGATTCTGCATGAATGGAGCAGGTGGCTGGGTGTCTGCCATTGTTTCCTGACTTCAGTGACAGGAGATGAGCGTGTTTCACACAAGCCGTATACTGCCGTATTGCCAAAATACTCAATGCAAAAGGCAAAAAATAAATTTCTTGTTCTCTCTTTCTTTCTTTCTTTTTTTTTTTTAACTTTCTTTTGGCTTATCTCTGTTAATGCATAACCTTTGAATCTTTAGATGGCAGATGAATGATGACAGTTACTAATGGTAATTAATTGTATTCACTCCTACTCCAAAGTAAAAGAAGCTGGCTTAAACTGGTATTGTAGGAAACCTCCAGATGAAAGGAAGTGGGCAGTAAACTAAGACACCTGACCATATGACTATCTTGTAATAGAAAAAGATTAAACTGCAGCTGTAGGTGATAGTCTCCTTTGTTTTTTGTCACGCATATTTTCTTTGGTATTGTCCAAGACAGTGAAAAATGGCCCTGAAGAGATTATAACCGATTCCAGAAAGATCACTTCAGCGTAAGGGACTCTCTAGTGATGTATCCACGTTGTACCATGATATGACAATGCCTGTGCAGACTCCTTCCCGGTTACTCCCTTGGCTGAGGAGAGGCAAGTACTCCTGGTGGCCCTGCATTTAGGGCTCTATGTGCAGTGCATAAATGGCAGTCAAACCACTGCCTTCTGTCCTAGCCACTCCACAGCTTCTGTAGCTGCTGCGGCAGGGGGTCCCGCACCGATGCTAACGCATGCACACACAGGCAAACTGACATCTTATGCTGGCTGCTGACACCTGTCTCCAGAACAGCCCTGAAAAACATAGGTGCTGTGCTTGGTTCCCAGCCATCTCTAGCTTATGTGAGCCCTTCCCACAGTGTGGTCGTACAGTTAGAGGAGCACGTGCCTGGATCCTGACTTCTTGATGACAAACTAGGATTTACCTAGCATTTTCTCAGAAAGGAAAACTGTTGATTACCTTCAACCATTAACAGTAATTTGGTTCAAACGGTGACATTTCAGTCTTAATGGCAACTCATTCTAGCCTTGAGTTGATGATTGTGATGGGCAATTTGATACTGTTTTATGTTCTGTGCTGGTGCCTTCATTAAATACTTGAGTGCTCTGCTGAAAATCTGCCTTCAGTTTTATAGACAATGAAAAAGACATTTGCATTATGTGAATATATATTTTACACTTGGGGGAACTCTAATAAACATAATTTACACACCATTTGTTATCCTATGCAGCCTACTAGGTATTGAAGATGGGGAAAAGCTATAAAAACTGTGATTGGTCTTCCAGAGCCCAGTTTTGGTGCTTGCTCTGTTCCTTAGTGGTTATATGTAGATGCCAGAGGGCCAAAGAATTATCTTATTATAGAACCACCTTGGCTTAGTACCACCTTAACTTCTAACCCATTCCATACCGGTTAATGGTTTCAGACTCAATTTCGTTGCATAAGACAGACTTTTAAATCACCTGTGCTCCCATCCCAAAGTCTCCCATCCCTTTTGGTCTAGTAAATGGTCTGCAGCTGAGTAATTCAGTGCTTATGTCAAAAGTTATTAAGCAAACAAGGAGACTTCCCCAAATTTCAGGAACTTTTTGCCTTTCCAAAAGCTTTTACCTGTAGGCAGCATTCATTATAACTTGTCATTGTCATTCTAGACTTTTTAGTGTTTGACAGGGGAAGTGCTATGCTCCCTTTATAGCAGGCCACAAAAATGCAGGGTCAGGTAAGGCAAATACCTGAGGAACCTAGAGATTATGAAGCAGCTGATCTCATTATAGGTATGGACAACAAGTCCGTAGCCTGATGGATACCAAGGAAGGAAAAAGGTCATCTAGCATCTGCAGCATGTTATAAGGCCACTGCTGCCCAGTTTGAGAGGGCAGGCTTGAAGGTTTTCTGCAGTCCTTTTATACTCTCCCTTAGTCTGCCCCAGCAGCGCAACTTCTGTTACAGGTCAGTTACAATGCTTCTCAGAATTTCCTAAGGTTTATGCAAACCTTTTGAGTCAAAAGACATTATCTTTTCATTCCCTTCGATGGTTTGTGTTTGTGCATGTGAGCAGTAAGGGGAAAATGTGTTTTATTTTCCATTTGTGAGTAAGGGAAACTTAAACGCACTTTCTGGGCTTTTGAATGTGGAACTTAACTTAACTGTTTACCCTTTTTCATCTTCAGGAGGTTGGCAGTCCTATCTTGAAAATAATACATAGCTCTTTTGTAGTCCAAAACCTGAAGTGTCTAAATCTTTTATAGGTATAGAAGAGATCTTGTTTAAGTTTTGAATAGCTGACAGAGCTGTAAGTGACTGGTGTGTGTGTGTATGTGTTGTACAGCTCCTTTGTACTTAATATGCAAAGGGCATGAGCCTGTTACAGCCCATGAGGTAGAACCTTGCCTCTGTAACTCAAATTGGAGCAATGTTTACATATTTACAGGGCTGATGGTTCAGTCCCTGATGGGTTGGTTAAGATGGAAACTGTCAAAGTAGCATCTTCAAAATGAGTTGTTTCTGAGCTTTGGGCACTTGTGTTTTCTAGTGATGAAAGATATATTAATGATATGTCACTTATTCTGCTTTGTGACTGCTCTCCATTCAGGTCAGGGGAGATCTCAGTGAGATGAATGGCTTTCCCTTTTTTCCTTTTTTAAAATTTCTGAATGAATGGCTGTACCTATGCACTAGCCTGTCTTGAGAATACTCCTGTGGGTGAAATACTCCTGGTGGGGGGAAAAAGCACTAACTTAATTTCTCTTACAGTCCAGTAGATGATGTTAATCAGAATACAATATTATTAGGCACTAAATAAACACTTCAATGATTTATTTTATAGTTCTTATGGCTGATTTTTTTGTCTACATTATAAATTAATCTCTTCTTTCTTGCTTAAGGGATTTAAAGACAATGTCTATCGACAGAGACGAAAATACTTTGTGGATGTTGCCATGAGCTATAAATAGTAAGTACTGTTATAATTCTTCCCTGTGCTGCTGACTAGTTAGAATTCCTGCTCTGTCTAATTCGGTAGGATGAAGCTGGAGAATGACATTTGAATCCAAGACAAAGAATAATTATTACTTCCAGTTTTACTGCTAGGATGATTTCTGGTTACTGAAGAGAGTAGATGACCCTTACAGTTCTAACCTCAATATGGACCATGGCTAAAGGGATTCCTTTGGCATTAGGGTGTGCTGTGCACTCTGAAAGAGTCTGGAAACCCTGGATCCTGTTTATATGTGGTGTTTTGTGAAAAATCCTTGAGTTTGTATCATGGTAAAATTGTGGTTTACAGATCTTTATTCTAAAGGGCCTAGCAGAATTAGCTGTCCCCATGACATACATATATAACACACACACACGCACACACACACGTATGTGTGTGTGTTTTTTCAATACCTTGGTAGTTTCCACAGGGCCAGTATACTTTCAGGGTCTCAACTTGCTGAAGCATGAAATTCTAATTTGACTCTAGTTCATTCTTTAATGAGGAGAAGTATCACTGACTTTAAGAAAGAACTCCCAGGATACCGGGATTTGATCCCAAACTAGGAAAGCTATAGTTAGCCAAACTCACTAGGGAAGGGAATTATTGTTTTCTTTTCATTTTCTTAATATGCTGTATGTTGCAAAATGCCTCTTATTAATTTTGCCAACACAGCTCTAAACTTCTTAGAATTCAGTCAGTGGATTTCTCTGTAGTTAGTGGTGCTGGTGCCTGAGCACAAATACAATGCACGTATTTTCTCATTGAATTTCATCTTTCCAGATCAAGCCAGTATTTTGAATTTGTTACCATCCCTGAAATACAGGAAACTGTCTGCGTTACCTACAAATACCTACTGTGTTGTAATTTTCTTGTCACGTAAGCATTCCACTAACTCCAGTCATACTCTTATTTGTAACAAACAGGCTTAAGCCCTCATTCTCAAGGGAAAGAACATACTAATTTCATGTTCTTTTCAATATTAGCATATTTTTTCAGATTCTTTATTTTTCTCATTTGAGATTTCTACCTCCATTGTTTAAAAAATATAAAAGACAACAATTCTTTCAGCCTTCATAAAAGGCATATCTTGGGAGGAAGCAATTCAAAAACAATTTTTAAGGGTTATTTGGTTCTACTTTTTTGTTATAAATTATGAGGCTAATACCTGGGCTGTGGAAAGCTGCGGGGACAGGAGGATAAGCTGTGCATCGTGACCATATTATCCTAATTTCTTCTTCCTTTGCGGTTGTCTGTTCATATCATTATGCTATTACCAGTCTAATAGATTGCTAAGTGCTAGCGTAGGTTCCCCTTTCTTTTGCCCCATGGTGGCATTTGTTTAGCTGGGTGCTCCTGACATTCATCCAGCACATGGAGCTTCTGTCCGGAGGGGGCAGGCTGGTGGTTGTTGTTGAAGTTTCCTAGGTTCTGCGGTTTGCTCTGTCTGCTGACTAGTTAAGTCCTAAATTCACTTATATTTGAAAAATGGCCACAGACATTCTGTTTGTTTGTTTTCAACCTAACAGATTGTATTTTTTCAGTCTTATACTTGCTGTAGAGTTAGTTCTTCTAGACTAGACTAGCTTTTATTGTAGTATAAAATGTCAAGCAGATACCTGTGGAGGAGGGCAGACTGTGTGGATTTCTAGAGCTCCTTCAGTAAACTCAGATCGTATTCCATTTACCTGTAACAGTAACAGTAGTGCCATGTATTTCACAGCTGCTAAGTTGCTGGAAGCATCTACCTCCCTCTTCACCCGCTAAGCTGCCTAACTACTGGAGAGGTCATGCTGCTGGCTCACTAAGCAGTTGCTGGTCTTCTGCCACAAAGTCCTCCCGACCCAGAATCAATGAAAAATCTCTTTTCACAAAATCACTTAGAGTAATCCTGTATAATCCCAGAAAAACAGATACAGCAAAGGGAAGGAAAAATTCCTTTGCTTGTTTAGATCTTGGAGGCTCAGCAACCCTGCAGGCAAATTACAAAAATCAAAGAAGCTAAAACAGGGGTTATTTGATGGCCAGATCTTCTACTTCAGTAAAGCTGCTCAGAAAATATTTCCCTTGTTCCCCTGATGCTTTCAAACATTTAAAAGCTTTTGAACTTTTTCCCTTATTATCAGAAGAGGGAAATCAAGATGCTTTAAATACTTTTTAGTTAGGGACCACAAAAGAGCTGATAGGCCAGTAACTGTAGCAGTTACCTAGATGTGGCAGCATCTCATTCTTACTCCTCAGGTCTGCTGAAGTTAGAACTAGTTATCTTAACCCTACTTGAGTGCCATATCTGCTGGGCAGTCGATCTCTGTCCAAATATGTCTGTCTGCTCTGTGGAGACAGCCCAGGGAGACCTTCACCCTCAGCAACCTGGAGGCTCAGTCTAAGCTGCACGGAGGAAAGGTAAATTATCTCGTGGAGGACTCTGTGCTTCTACAGCTAAACTGTGTCTGCTACCCATGTTGGTGAATTCAGAATTAATTTGGGTGTCCTGACACTACACTGCAGTCTTGTCAGACTCTCTTCTCTGGCCTAACGATTATTTACTTATTTATACAAAAAAGAACAGCTTTGGTAGGAAATGCTGAGAGCGCTTCACCCCAGTGTAGCTAACAATTCTATATTACAAAAACTGCTTCCCTTGGAGACCAAATTGAGAGCATTCTCTTGAACCTCTGTTTCTCACATCCTAGGTTAAATGACCTACCTAGTCATTAACTGAGGTTTGATGTGTTTCTCCTTTTCATTTTCCAATGTTAAAAAAAGCTCAGTTCCTTAAAACAATAATGAAGAGATTTGCCTACAACGAATTAGCTCTGTCAAAAATTGTTGAGTGGAAAAATCCCTGATTGATTGGTGTTTCCTTTATAAATTCCTGTTGTTCTATAGCAGTAGGCATTCTGCTTTGGTTGAGCATAAAGAGGCCTCAGTAGGAGGGAGAGGGAATGAGAGAGAAAAACACTGAGACGTGAACCTGGGAGAATCAGGGATTTCCTGGTGCTAGGTGTTAAAGGGAAGGAGATATTAATAAAGCACAGCAATGAAAATCAGCTGTATGAAATAAGTGGACCAAAAAATAAATGTTCCTCCCTGCTTCACTTAGCCTCTATCTTAAAGATAGTGAAAATGTGTTAATCTTGCTAATTAGTCCTTTGAGACTGATTAGAGATTGCAAAAGTGTTGTGGAGATTAAAGCAGGAAGAGAAATACAAGGTTTATAGAGGGAATTTATAATATGACTTGATAGTTCATGACCGTGGCAAAATGGAAAGACTGTATTTTAATAAGGCGAAATAAAAATTCAAGTTAGGTTAGTCTGTAGAGTCATCTTATTCAGCCACAAAAGAACTATGGCTGTGCAGGCTGTCCATGCGTGAGAATTACTGGATGTTTGAGTGCAAGGTGGGTCTAACTTTAAGTAAGAGGAAATGGAGTTTTGCAGAGCTGAGTGAGAATGGTGTGGGCCCTCCCTCAAGTCCGGCTATCTTGATCTTCTGGGTAAAGAAAGCAGTATCGTGATGGGCTGGAAATAAGATCAACTTTCCTAGGCATGAATTCTATTAAGAAATACATGCCCATTGAACCTTATTTCTGTACCAGATGAATTAATTTAAACAATAACTACATTATGAACCTGTTTGTTGGAGTAACAGCGAACAAGCTTCAGATGCTAGGTCTTGTTTATACCTCTGTAGTGACAGGCTAAAAAGTAAGTTGAATTTTCCCACCAGTGCACAGCTTTCTTCAGCATTGCTGGGCCTGTGCTGACGCGTACTGGCAGTATCCATAGAAGAGGTCAGGTCCAGGGAAAAGGAATATGGCTACTGCACAGTATTCTGGCAGCCCTATGTGGATGGGACAGCTGCCTGGTGTCCACTAGTGTATAAAACAATTTAAAATAGCTGTGTTACACTTTCCACAAGCAGTCAGGCAGCTTAAGGTTGATAGAGTGTAAAGGTGAAGACAGATACAAGACATGAAGGTTTGACTCCCACCAGACAACACGGATGGACCCGGTGCGGCTTCTGTTGGTGAGAAATGCTTCACAAATGTGTTGCAATTCTTGTCATGTCTGCAAAAGAGTGGCTGAAGGGGAACAAGATGATTTAATGTATTGAATGTTCAGTGAATATTTAACAAGCATGAGTACTTCATACAAAGTAGCCTTTGACTGTCAGGTACTGCCATGGATTAAAATACTTTGATGTAGTGAAAGGCAAGGAGTTTAAATAGTTTTCAATAAAGATAAGGGGACAACCAAAAATTAAGGTGGGGCAGAGTCTCTTCTCACATGCGTGTGGGGACTGCAATTACATGTGATATGAGGGTTTGTTCTCTTTGCATCATATGATGGAGACAGGATAATGAACTGGGTGATACCCAGGAAGAAGACCCCCCAGTGACAGACCAGCGCTGCAACTCCCCTGCTGCTCTGGGCTCCCCCTGGGCCCGATATCCCTGTTTTAGCCCTGCCAACTGAGCCTGGTGTCTGGGCTGGGGGAAGAAGCTGCAGCACCGAGCTGGGAGTGTCAGAGTTGCCAGCCCTACAGCAGCGAAGCAGGAGAGAGGGGGTGGAAGGGAATCCTGTTAATCCCTTTGTTAATCTGTACTTAGTTAAGGTCCGAGAAAAGAGAAGGATACCTGAGGAGAAGACAGATTTCACAAATTACATACAACAGGCTGTGAACGTTAAATCTAGAGGAAGATTATAAAGTTTCTAGGGATAATTCATTATGTGAGATGATGGATCATGACCATGGCATGGGAAATTCCATACAGCTAAATTCAAGGCAGTGCAAATGGGAAGGACCCCTTCACACTCTTCACACAGTCGGTCAGTTTTAAATTAACTGTAACCACTCAGGGCAAATCTTGGATGTCAAAGGCAGATTAGCAGGCAAGGAGGCACCCTGGAAGTCGTCTGCTTTGCAATTCCTATGCATCTGTGTAAGGAGGAAGAGGAATCGTGGAGAGTAAAGAGATGTTTAGAAAGATGGATTCAGAGGCTTAGTTTTGCATAGGACAGGGTGTTGCCTGTGTGATGAGCTTCCTCATGATGTAGTCCTGATAGAGTAGGTCTGGGGTTCTAAACGTATCTTCAAATGTAAACATGAGTCTGAACAATAAACACGTATTTTTAATGGGATCCACACATTCTAAACAGCTATGTAATGATCTAAGATGCACTTTGTAACATGCTAGGTAATGATGCTCTGTGAATAATATTTTGCATTTAAAGAATGCATAGGACTACTGATGGTTTTACTGAATATACACATTAGACTGAAGCAGGATCTTGAGCTACTTATTTACAAAGGCACGAGTGGTAACAAGCAGAAATATACCATACAGTGTTTTTATATCAGAGTAATAAGAAGTCCATCTTTCTGCTATGATATGTACAAAAATTAAGAAATAATGTTTTTTAATAAGAAATAAATTCATTTCTTAAGAAATAAATGTAATAGTACAACATAGAAATCATCAAGAGGAAATTCTACAGAAGGACTGTATAGTTATTTTTTAAATAGTTTTTAATAATCACTTTTTAATAGGCTCATCTGTCTTTATTTAAATAACACGTTTTACAGATATTTTGCCATCCAAGGTCAGTCTAGAATCTGGTTATGTTCAAACGTATTTTTGTATTTTATTTTTTACAGTGGTCAACCCATTCCCAGAGTGGAGTACACTGCTGAAGAAGTTAAAACATGGGGGGTGGTATTTAGGGAACTCAGTAAACTCTATCCCACCCATGCTTGTCGTGAATATTTAAAAAACTTTCCTCTGCTGACCAAGTATTGTGGATATAGAGAGGATAATGTGCCTCAGCTGGAAGATGTCTCTATTTTTCTTAAAGGTAAGACATTTTAGTTCATCAATAGATAGGGTTTCATGAAAACACTCTTTTCTGTTAGTATGAAATACAAAGCTCACAGAAGAAAAGGACTCCCAGTGGGCTTTGATTTAGACCGAAGTATCATTTTTTTGTTAATGTTCTTCATGGAAGAGAATTTGTTCAGTCAAGATAGTTGCATGTATGTAGTATGAAGGTGAGAGGAATTATGCAGCCAATCACATATCACGTGATATTATCCTGCACAGGGAGAAAAGTCTTTCAGTACGATCAAAAGAGAGAGCTGAATTAGCTCTGCTGTTCTGATTATCATAGTGTGCATCTCCCAGATATCCAGGCAGTTAAAAAGAGGAATACATGTCTAGATAACAAATATCCAGGCAGTTAAAAGGAGGACTAAAATGTATACATAACAAAATTTTGAAAAGAGAGCAGATTTGGCACGTTGTGCATGAAGTGTGCCCTTACTAAACTTGAGGCTTTCCTGAGTGCCCAAAACATCATGAAGCTGTTTATTGTATTTGTATGTTGAAAAAAATCTCAGTGCAATGGCACTCCATAGTTGATCTGGCACTTCTCTGCCATTTTCATGTCATTTTTAGGGGATCAGGATATTGCATATTTAAGTCTGAAGAGGCAAAAATGCCCTTCTTTTTCATCTGTGGTCAAAATTTATTTCACAAGGAAGGAGAAGTGGCAAACATGAACCTGCTGGTTTTGACCCATGAGAGGCAAGCTGTCAGTGTTCAGTTAAGATTCTTTCTTCTCTTCAGGGGTGCTTTCCAGTGCATGCATTTGTGCCTTAATCTTCTTGGACAAATTCCAGGAACTAGGAACTAAAATATTATGAATATGTATGTGTGGAAAAAAAGATATCATATACTCTTAGTGTTATGAAAAAATTTGCAAAGTTTTTTGTCCCAAATGTACATAGAAAATTTTTAACTAAAAAACCCACAACATTTGTAATGAAAGGTTTGCTTTCCCCATTGCCTACTTCATCCTTAATTCTTGTTTATGATCACCTGCATCTACTTATCACTCTTTGAGTTTGGTTGTGTCATTCTACGTCCCTCATATGTTGTATTCTGATCTCTAAGGAACGATGCCCAAGTATATAGATTCTTTTTCCCTAAGTAGAAACTTAAAAAAAAAAAAATACTTCTTTCAGAAATATGTTTTCAGACTAAATACAACAGTAAGAATGTCTGTGCAAGATACACTTGGAACATTTTCCTGTAGACTCCTGAAAGAGTAAAGAATGAATTTGGGAGAGAAATGTCCTTTCCAGTGTCACTGATTCTGAAATAATTCCCTACTGGGACTAATTTGACAAAGGAATGCTTTGTTTAAATATTTATATGAGGATCTCAGATATGAAAGTCAGTATTTTACTTTCACAAGATAGTATTTTGTCTGTAAAACTTAGGACATATGTGGTTTAATCCTTTTCTGTTCTGTTGGTTTGCAATATTTTTCAATAAGTCATCTTCTATTTTGGAAACTTCTCTCCTGTTTGGTACCAGACATGAAAATCAGGAACTTTGTGATTTGAGAGCATCACTTATGCATACCCTTACCTTCTTTTCTAGATGAAGTTATTAAAACAAACTTTGAATTACTTTAAGCTGTTTTTGCTTAAAATTACCAGCAGTAAATATGCTGGCAATGCAAAACAGTTTCTGTACATAATAGGTGAAAATTACGTATGGTGATCTTCAGCCAAGATTTTTGATGTCATGCTTCTGATTGAATGATTGACTACAGATCATTACCCGTCCTCAGAAAGTGATATAGTGATACATAATATGGTCTTTCATTATCTTCTTCACTTCAGAAAGGTCTGGCTTCACAGTGAGACCAGTTGCTGGATACCTGTCTCCTCGAGATTTTTTAGCTGGATTAGCGTATAGAGTTTTTCACTGTACTCAGTATATACGACATGGCTCAGATCCTCTCTACACACCAGAACCGTAAGTTTCTGTATTAGCTTTAGTAATAAAAAATATGCTCCCTGGATATTTAGAAGACCTAATTGTGTTTGCTAAGATTGAAAAGAGGAACCTTCCCACAAAGGTAGGTAGAAATCTAGTTACACTGAAGTCAGTGACAAAACCATTCATGCTGGTGGGGCCAGAATTTCATCCAAAGGCTTTTTCTTGGACTTTATTACTTAAATGGCTGTTATTTATATGGTGGGTCAAAAAATTCTGAGATGTTTTTCAGTGTAAAATGGAGTTGCCCCCGTTTCACAATAAACATCTTGAAAAAGTGTCTAAAATATTAATTTCTGGTGGGAAAACAAAGGAATTTAAAAAACAAAGCAAAATAAAGGAAACCTGGATTCCTTGGAAAAAAAATTACTTTCAGAATTATAATTTGGTGGTCTTAAGCCCCCGTTTCTGTTGGGCCAGACTCCCCAGCTGAACTTCATTTCTTTCCCATGATACAACACAAGCAAGTCATGAGGCGCTGCTCTCTCGCCCAGAGAGGAAGTTAGATATGAAGCCTGTGGTATAGAACATAATGGAAATAAAAGACATTTAACTATGACTTTCATGGGACTGCATTGTAGCTTTTCCAAAACAAGAGTATTTCAAATTTTGGATGAAATATTTTGGCATTTGGGCTCTCGATGAAAAGTGGGAAAAAATCGAAGCAATTTTGTTCTTTGCCTTGTGTTATACACGGTGCGCTCTGTGTGGTGATAACAGAACAATACATGTCAGTCAGGTAATATGGAGGTGTTTTTACCAAAGGCATCTGCTGATCTTGTAAACCACAGGAATGGTGTTTACGCAGTGAATCAGTCATCAGACAATTATCATGAAATGGAAGCTGCTGTTTATTCAGCCTATATTATTTTGATGTGTGTTTTATTTTTGACAAAACTTATGGAAAGGGTTTATATATTTTAAATACCTATACATACACATGTATATACACATACATACGTACAGACACACACACACACACACACACACACACATATATATATATATATATGTATTCAGCTCCAATCCTGTAAACATTTGGACACATGCCTTATTTTGATTTCATGAATAGAATATTGAAAATACGGAATAACATTTTTGGACATAAAAGGATTAATAGCACTGCATATTAAGCTGTTTCTGAAAATACTTTAACATATTATTCTAGCAGGAGTCACCAGGTGGTGCTGTTATACACATATCTCCTTTTAAACCTCCCGTGTGAGCGAGGGCAAAGTTCTTGCTACAGTGTTGTGAGGCTGGTTTTGTGATGCATGTTTGCATTGGGAAACTGGTGGCAATCACTGAAGGAATTCACTCACTTCTATCATCTCTGTAATTAGAACTTTAAGCTTAGCAATTATTAGGCAAAATTGCTAAAATGCAGAATCCTGAAAAAAAAAAGGGTTTGGAAATGTGTTGTTGGACCTCTTCTGGTCTATCTGAAGAGATCTGTAGATATTTTAAATAAAGAAATTATACTTGGGAAGTACTAGGCTTTGCACTAATGATTTCCTCTCCAGTGGGAAGCCAGTGTCTCAGTTTGCAACACCTGCTAATGCTCAGCAGAGAGATGGTGAGACATGTATTAACTTAATACAAACTAGGAGCGTATTTCCATCTATTGATAGGGGATTTAGGTGCATAACACCAACAGAAACAAAGGAAGGAACATGTTCCAGGAAAAAATTAAGTGTGTATGTTCTTGCTGATGTTGCCTGGTTCATTGATTTGTGTATTTGCGTTACCAGAAACGTAAATAGTTAATGTTGTAGCTTTGTTGTAGTTAATGGCAAAACTACCACTGACTTGAGTGGGGACGTTTCTTCATCCTCTGTAGTATCTGCAATGCCCTGAGATCTGTTAGTTAATATATGGGGACATAATGAGGTTTGCTGCAAGTCCTGGACCTGTGAATGTTGCATTTCAATGATATAAACCTGGTAAAAAGACTCCCATTGACTTCAGTGGACTTTCCATCAGACTTTACACTCAGACTATAGAGCTAGATACAATTAAGGAGTTCACTTTGCTTGATCTCTGTCACTACTATATGCATTTTAAAATGTTTCTTTCTGGGTTTCATTATGTTTCTACTACATTCACAGAACTATATAGATTTACTCTGCTTTACTAATTTACTTTAAAAATCTTTCGCTGTGAAAAGTGCATTAAAAAAATCCTGCTTTCTTTGAGCAGTGTGTGTGAATAAATTAAAGGAACTTTAATTATTTTCCGAATAAAACAAAACAAAAGAATCAAGCCTAGTAGTTAAGCAAAGAATTATATTGTTTAGACTATCTATAAAGGGCCAGACTGGCAGGGAAATCTAAGAGACTCCTATGACAATCCCAAATGCAGGATCCTGGTTCTGTCTGGGAGGTTTTCTTGTTGTTGTTCTTCATTTACTTTTTGCTTCAGACTTGCCTCTCTATAATTACACGTTCAAAATATTACTATTTATAGTTTTTTAGACAAATCAGTAAGCTAAAGACAGAAGAAATATCTTCTGCCTCCTCATCCTCCCCTCCTTGCCGAGATAGACAGGTTAATAGGACTAGCCATTGTCTGTTCGCATTTTCGTGTGCATGGGTGGAAGTGACACCAAGAGCCTGTGTCCCAGTGCAGAAGTAGGACTACGTCATCTTTGCTCTGTGTGTTTCTGGGAGTTACGACTGCAGCACAAGTAGATACAGGTGTAGACACTACCTCAGATATCAATAGTAGTGATGCAGCTGTAGAAGCCTGCCTGAAGCCGAGTATACTTATGTGAAGCCAGGAACTTGTTCCACTATATCTTCTTTACGCGCATTATCTGAACTCCCGATATGAAGTTTCCTTAAATATATCTGCATTGTTGCAGTGCAGCATAGGTAAAGTGTTCAGATAGCAGTCAGTGTTAATTTCTCCAGTGAAGACAGGAAGTTGAGTTAAAGCTGTGCCCTGGGTGGCTTTGTGGCCCGTTTCTGTGTTGGAAGGTCATGGTCAGGGGAATTGGGTTCATCTAGTGAATTCTGTTTGGTACTGGGAATTTTCTGGACTGCAAACTCCATTTCCCTGCTCTCTTTTGTGTTGTTAGTGAGCTAAATCTTGCAGGAGGTAATGGAAGAAATTGTTGCGACTGGAACAGGATTAATAAAGAAGAGTCATTAACCTTTGATTATTATCCACTTGAGTGGTGCAAACCATCTCCTGAACGAAGAGGTGGATGCAGAGCAAGCCAATTTTTCGCATCTGAGCTCTAGTTAGGAGGGGAGTGCTATCTAAGCTACAGGTCCCCTGATAGGGAACTTTGATCATCTTGCTAGACTCAGAGCGTCATTGAGTAAAGGGGTGTAGAGATCATAAAAGACTTCTTGCCAGCTGTTTTTGAAGGAAAGCAGGAAAGAAGAGTTCAGGCAGTTTCCGTGCTCTGAAGGAACATGCAGTGATGTAGGAACAAAGGAGAGAAGATCTTACTTTCAGAAAGAGGGACAAGCTTTACGAGTGGAAAATGCATGCAAATACTTTTCCTAATGTAACTACAGTGTCTCATATTGTTTCTGGCCAGCTGTAAACATCAAATATGTTTCGTAGATGTTGACTAGAAATACTGCTGCACGGTGAACGTGAGTGCACAGTCTATGTTGCTACAAGTCCATCTCCAGTCAACCTCCATAAAACGTGTGTTTGATCATGTGACACAGAAGTACCTGTGTACCATGTCAGCTTCTTTGGGGAATACGTTAATCTTTCCTAGATGTATGTATAAACACAAGAACAATGAGATTTGGTAATTCCTCTCTACTATAGAGTGTATTAGTCATGTGTGCTTAGCTCAAACATACCATGCACAACCTCAGAGCTGTGCCTGTCTCACCGAAAAGTATAACTATAATATGAGCAAATGTTGGTAAGCTTCTGTCAGTGAGGCCATCTGGGCTGAGAAGAAGGACTGGTATGTAACTGTACAATACTGCAACTGTATTTGATAAACTTCTGCTGAGGCAAGTTAGGATTGCCAAAAATGCTAATTTTTTTTGCATGCAGTTAGGAATTACTATACCTAGAGCCAGTTGGCACAGATTTCTTGGTAAAGAATTGTGGGTGAGAATAGGAGGCATTAAATTATATAGAGAGTTGTTTTTCTGTTCATGATTTATCTGAAGTGTCAGATTCTGTGTCTTTTAGAACGAAAATACTTTATAGAAGACAAATTGGATGATTTTGGGTAGAAGGCAGAAAACTTGATGTTTTCTCCCTGCCTTTAAAACATTTGTTTACAGTTAAAAAAAAAATAAAAAAGAGAGAGAAATGTCTTTGAAAAGACAAAAGCAAAGGAAATGTCAGATCAGATTTTAAGTGAATTTTACTGCCAAGTCCATTATTTTCTGTGAACAAATATACTGAAACTTTCAGAATTGTTTGAGAGCTTTTTGTAGATGATGCATGTGCACTTTTGTTTGTTTAGTTAGTTGAGGGTTTTTTTTTTTTATAGACTTATATTTGCACTTTGTTGTGACTAATAATGTACTCACAGGTGTGGACAGTAGATAGTTTTCATTACTGAGATACCAGGCACTTCCATCTAAAATGATCCAGGTTCTTTACTTTTTCTGAAATCTGCTTGGTGAAAACTGGACTGCATAACAAAAGTAACTAATAATTACGGTAGGAGGCTGGGACTAAACTAGAAATGAAGCACGCAGATATCTTTATAAATATTGCCCTAAATTTCTAAAATGCAGGTGGCAAAATGTATGATTATGGAGCTGTATCCAAGTGCAGAGTGGGGAATGGAAAAGAGGAAGAATGTGTGTGTTGGATTTTGAACTTGGTTCACGTGGAGAGAATTGCTGAAAATTTTACTTGTAAGACACCTGGCTTCCCTTTGGGCAGTTCAGTCTTCATGGACAAAGCCTGGAAGAGAGCAGTGATCAGGCCTGCCCAGTCAATCTGGAAGTGATGGCAAAGTCATGGAACAGGTGGAGTTAAGTTGCATATAACCCGTATAATAGAAGCAAACCTGTGTATTTCTATAGATCTGTATATAGGGAAGAACAGCTGTACTGCAAAAAGATGTAAGACTTTTAAAGTAGAGGTCAAACCCGTGTAAAATGGCCTATGTTAAATTGATTATGGAATATTTAGATTTCATTCCCCTAGGGATACATGCCATGAACTCTTGGGACACGTGCCTCTACTTGCTGATCCCAAATTTGCTCAGTTTTCACAAGAGATAGGACTTGCTTCACTGGGAGCATCTGAGGAAGATGTTCAGAAGTTAGCCACAGTGAGTCAAAAATCTTTTTTGGCATGCTTTCTTTTATCCCTGTCTTTCTCTTCTGTTAATGAAGTGACGTGCATTGTCTTACCAGATCTGACTTAATTTTCAGGTTGCAGATGACTGTAATGTGACAGTCACAGCGCTTTAGGCATTTTTCCATTGTCTTTAATAAGAGCAAAGCGGAACGTGCTAGTCTTTAGGTAGTCAGTTTAACTATTTATATGCTGTAGTCATCCAATTCCCAAGGGTTGTTCAGATGGATTTTGTCTACTTCAGGGTGCTGAAAACAAGTAACCAAGGTAATTTTGGAAGAAAAGAAAACATCTCTGGTGTGTGCTCTCAGCTGTATACTCTAAACTCCTTGATAGGAGGCCACTTTGGCTCTCGGCCCTACTATTGCAGTACTCACTGGTCTGCTTTGCAGATGTTCACTACGTATTGTAGTGTGTGCTGAGAAGTTCATTCTGAGATGACGTTGCATCCTTGATCCTGCTCCTATTGGAGAATATATAAACCGAGGCTGTGCAGCAGTAAATCTAGACCTAGATCGTATACTTTAGCCAGTGGTGGTGAGCTGGATTTTGTGTTTCATCAAATGAGACATGTGGGAGTAGAAAGTCAGTGAGAAGAGGATGAGGCTGCATATCAAAGATATTAGATACTATTCACCACCTGACTGGAGCTTTCTTGCCTGTTGGTTAGGGACTCTCAGGTTCCACTGAAGGACCCTGTCCAGTTGCCAGGCCTCCCAGCTTCTGCCCAGCTGTCAGCCCTGCTGTGTTGCCATTTCCAGGCAGCTCACGCTGTCCTTTGCATCATGACATAGATTGGTGATCCCTGATCTATACTGCTTGCTCTGCTCAGTTCTTTTGTTTTAGCTTACTGTATGCTTCATTTTGTGGATCCTGTTAAAACTAACGCTGCAAATAATTTCATAAAGAATATTATATTCAAAAGCAGCTCAGTTTTTAAATATTTACACTGATGAAAAATTCTGTGAGAACCATCAGAAGAATTGGTTGCCAGGGCATGGTTGCTTTCCTACATCTGAGAACTGTGGTGGTGATTTTAAAGGTTGTGAATAACTTTTTCCCAGTATTGAAGGCAAATTCAAAACAAGATCCATTAAACTGTCATAGTATTGATGCAATAGCTTAGCAGTGAGTTAGTCGCATCTGCTGAAGAATGAGTTCTACCCTGCTCTGTACCTCTTTGTTTATTTGCTTTTTTTTTTCCACTGTAGCCCTCCAGAAGAGCCCACCAACTGATTTAATCAAACAGGCCTCACTCCCTAATTAGACAGGCTTGATGTCTTATGGCTACTTCCTCTCACATGCTTCACGATGTGTTGCTTGGTTTTCTACTGGCTGTTTACTGAGAAGAAGCTGTTGTTCCTATGCAGGAATCATGAAAGCTATTGTGTCTATTTGCATATTTGCTAGGAAGGGACCTGGTAGGAAGCAGACCTACCTTGCCATGATCTGTAGCTTCAAGAGAAGAGGAACCAGCTAAAAGACTATTCCTATAGATAATTTGAGGAAAACAGTATGGTTCAAGTCTTTCACCCCAAAATGAATACCCTTAAATGACATGAGCCTCTTGCAGAGGACAATGTTGGGACTGATCTGTTTGGGGAGAGATGTTAATATACAGTGACCTCTGAACATTATATAAATGCTTTCACCCCTCCACCTCACAAAAATGCCCGATTATGACTGACTCTGTCGTCTGAACAATGAACTGCTCTTGAGTCACAAAGCCAAAAATAAAACAAGACAGGTGAATCACTTTACCTTATCACACTGAGAATTTGATATCTGAGTCAAATTTGATTTCTCCTTCCATGCTGGAAATAGCTCTTTCAGGTGGAAGAGACATTTAGAGAGAGAGCCTCATAGTAGTCCAGATGTTGTTTTGCATAGAGGCACAACAAGGGGCTAGACTCCCTTGAGGCAGGTACTTGGCAAATACAGAGATGTTACTTGCCCTAAAATTTGTAATGTAAACAAAATCAACTTGAGGGCAAGTGGAATGAATGTCTCTCAGCAGTGAGGCTGAGGAGGCCAAGGAATTCATTCAGCTGGGCATCAGATGATAACCTGAGTTGCTGTTAACTGACTTCTGCAGGATTCTGTCGCGTTTCTACCTAGGTAGAAAACATGGAGATGCAGTGAGCTGAAAAATGCCAGCCAAGAGTTTTAACAAAGAAAACCAATGCAGATTCCAGCTAGGCAACTTCAAAGTAAATATAGAAACAAATGAACTGAGAGAACACGCCTGTTAATGTGCTTGCAGCAATATGCCCTGAAAAAAGCCTTCCATTATCATGACCTGTTTAAAAAGATAGTGACATTAACAGCTGAGCCATTACAGAGAGGACAGTGGCTTTAGGAAGAGAAGAAAACACCTCTTAAGAGTTCAGACCAGAAAGGGAAGAATTAACACAGGTGACTTCCTAATCTTTTGCTCTATTCTGCTTTCAAAAGCTACAGTTTATCTGCCTCAATAGATCTGCTCTTTGTGTGCATTCAGTCCTGAGCTGTAAAGGAAACCTGCAGATGTTTTTGTCCCTGCAGACCTGATACAGTGGATGGAAAGCAAGCTAGAGCCTGGCCCCGGGCAGACCAGATTTATTTGCTAAGTTGCAGTTAGTCACATCTGTGCACCCCCACAGAGGGCACAGGTGTAAGTGGGAGAGCATTACAGAGACCATAGTGCTGGCCTGGCAGGAGGGGAAAGGGGAGCTGCAGGGGAAGAGGGCTGAAAAGGAGGGATATAAGTTCCCCTCACCTTGGTGTATGAGTCTGATAGTCAGACTGTGGAGCAAGGGGAAGGAAGTGTCATCTTTTTCTCTTTGACATAAGCGTTCTTTCCATGATAAATGGAATATTAAAAGAGCCAAAAGACATTTACAATGTTTTTTTGAGAAATGCTGTGCCCTTTACAGTGTTTGAGGGTAGTAGGAGACCTTCTCAAGAAAGAGAGAAGACACAGAAAACAAGTGACTGAGATGTAAATTACTGGAACGAGACAAAATAATTACACAATCCATTTTATTGCTTGTATTATGGTGCAATGCAGTTACTAGTTGAGGAAATACCCCGGGCTTATATGTCTGGGGTGCTAATCATTATAATGCTCATGATGTCTTGTGCTACTCTGTGATTTTCTAAAAATGCTTCTGAGTTCTGCTTCCCTCCCCCCACCTCGAGTGAGTCTGGTTTTTCTACTTTTACATAATCCTAAAATAAAAACTGAAACTGCATTTTCTACCTACCTATGAAACTATGCACTGTAGGGACGACTTGACATGAGGTGGTTCAACTAATTTATATGATATAGGATTTAAACCACACCTACACATAAGGAAAGGTTTTGTCAAGAAAATTGTCCAAAAATATGCCTCGGTTTCTATTGCAATATCACCTTATAATTTGTGGTCTTGGGAGCCAGAGAGCAGTGGTCTTTGTAGAGCTGCAAGCTGATAAGTGGGATCCTGTCTCTCTTGCTGATGGCAGGAATGATTCCTAGCCCCTGCTGATTTCTTTCAGAGCTGCTTAGGTCGCTCCTTTGCGAGGCAGTAGGCATAGGATGTGTATATAAAATTCAATGGGGCAAACTCACTGGTGGCACTTCAGAAAAGAAGAGGTTAGGACAGTGTCTGGTTTATTTGCAGTTTATCACCAAATCTTTCCACCCAGCTATCTGATCATTAGGGACTAATTATTCCCAATAAATGTTTTACAGTCGTTTCTTACGAGGAAGATGCATTTAAACCTTCAGCTCCCCAGACGTGCAAAATTATCTCCCTTTCCTCTCTCTTGATAATGTTTATTCTGATATTTTAGTGCAGGGCAGGGCAGTAGAAATCAAGCAACTTCTCTTGTCTGTGCTAGCCTAGATGCAGGAAACAATGATAGTCAGTTGCTTCTGAATTTAGAGGAATTGTGTATGATGAGGTTTTGTAAACACATTTCAGACTTGCTACAAATCTAAATGTTTTACCTTGCCTGATAATGACTGAGGCCAGTGAAGTAGCTGACCATGATTGGTCTGTGTATGTATCACAAACAAAATATTTTATAAATGTAGACTGGAGAAAAAATTGCATTCAGAACCCTCTGTTTGGGAGAAGACAGTGGTAATTCGTTTGAGCGTACTTGCCTTTCCTGCCTGAGGATCTACGTTATCTGGTTGGTTTCATTCCAGTTCTTCTCCCCGCACTGAAGAACTGGAACATGATTCAGGACAATTGCACATTTTGTTGGCTGAGAAGATAACCAGAATGGTAGAAACAGGCTCATTGCAGATAAAGACTGAGTTGTGTCTGGTAACTTTGGATAGATGCAGCTTTCATGGTCTGAGTAGACAGAGCAGAACTGTTGCAGTCTCTCATCTTCATAATCAGATTAGTTTTTCCAGAGGGGTATTGATGTGCTGGGGTATAAGTATAGCTTGTGAACTGCATTACTGTCCTCCTCTGTAAGTCAGTAAATGGAGCTGAGAAGAGAACTATGAAAAGATTTGAGATTTCAAATATTCCCACTGTGAATCTGAAAAACCAAGACTTCTTGAATATTTTGTATTTATACTTGCAAAACTATACACAGTGCACTAGCTACTGTGGTAAGTCTCTGATCTGCTCATCTGCTGCAGGTATTTTGCTATAAAAAATAATTATTTACTGGCCAGCAGAAAAACTGGTATTACACCCCTGGAGCTATGGCATTCCCAGAGCGCATTGAAGATTAGCGTTCAGATCTCTGCTCAGCCTTTATTCTGTATGCCAGTTGAGTGCCATAGTAGTGTGGAGAGAGAGAGCGCTCTCTCCAGGAGAGGGCAGAGTGGATACCCCAAGATCAGTGGTGGCATAATGGACCTTCTTGCAAAGGAGTTGCTTCCAGCTCCACCTCTAGTTAATGAGTAATGGACCTGTGGCATGAAGAGCCGAGGGTGATATGCTTTAAAAACTGCTTGAGTGAATTCTAACAAACTTACAGATAACA